TACGTATTATTAGTGTATATGCACAAAATATATTGTAACCAATACTTTGAATGGTCAGTTTTTCGCTAGGAATTTGATAGGGTGTTTTTTTTCGCATATGAATTATTTGGAATCCTTGTCAATCCCTACTATTAAGTACTTTAGGAAAGTTCTTGTCAAATTACAATTTCATTTATTAGGTTTAGTTTTGGAATGAAATTAGACAAGAAATATCTAACCACTTTCAAAATGAGGTAGCTGGGTCTGATCAGGTTAAAAACTTAAAATAAAATGGCAATATAATTTAGATTGAATGATAGGAATCCTCACATTATTGTAGGCTTTTCTCAGGTTTGGTACAGTTGTTGGTGACCTGAAGATTGAAAGAACGTTCTTCAGTCAATTCTAGTTCAAAATTTAGTAAACATGCATATAATACTTCCAGGGCTCAATACTTATATTGTCACAAAATTAAGTTTCAAAGTAAAGCTTATGTTGCAACATAAATATAACAGTTAAGAAATTAATATTTACTATGTGTAAGCATTAAATTGGATAGAACATGTTATATAAAACAACTGTATTTAATTTTCATTCATATGTAATTGCTTTAATTAATATTACATACTGTATTTCCCATATTACTGTCTCCACAATAGCTCTATTCATTCAGAATATCCACTTGTTATTAAAGCAAAAGCTAAAGTAATTCAGATCTTGTTAGTATAGGGGAGCATCTAAAAAAATACAGACACAAAAATGTTCATGATCATGAATAAAATTGTCTAATTACACTACAGATATTAACATTTGTTACTTTAGAGCAGATTGGAGGTTGACATTGTTCAGTTTGTAAGTGTTTCAGTGGCCAACCTTCATATTTAGAGTACTTCTGTTTAAAGGAAAACTCAATATTCAGATACCTTATTGAAAAAGGCTTTTACTGTGTTAACAAATATATTTATGATAGCAAGGTTGTATAAATTTGTGTAGTTGTTAATACAATTTTCAGTATGCATGATTTTGAGTTTTAAATGAAAAATATTATATCTAAAGGTTCACTATTATTAGTTTTGAAAGAAATTTGTTTTCATTCACATGTTCTATATTTTTTCTTGTAAACTTTTCAGCATTGTATGTTTAATTGCTATAAAATCTTGAGGTACATCAGTCTCTCTTTCAAGTACTTTAAATATTACAAAATACTATTGATATCTACTAGGATGAAACCGTATTTTAAATATGATTTAATTGATGAGGTCAAAGTGTGTTATTTTTTCATAAGTTGTACCAAAGTGCACATGTATAAATTGCTTTGTTGTCTTACTTGAAATTATGAATTTCTCTTTTACATCACAAATAGTTGTTATAGTTACAGCTTTAAAAAATAAGAGAATATGTGAAAAAAAGTTTATGAAAGTTGAAGTATGTACCACAGTACATTTACCGAGATGATAAAAATCACTGTTTTCCAGGGAAGTAGTCCATTTGGAAGTGGAGAGAACTTGTCTAAACATTCAGCAGACCCAGGCCGACTTGAGGAGACCCCTGGTAATAATTTAATTTATAAAGTTATTTCATGATTATATTAAGGATGAAATGTAATTGTTATCCCTTTGTCTATTGTAATGAATAAGTGTTCAGTGATAGTCTTATCATACAGAAACTGCTGCCTGTGGCAGTGATAGAAACAAGTTTTACAGTTTACTACCTAAGTTTGAGTTGTAAATCTTTATAGATACTAGTGTCTTTTTTTTTAGAAAAGTTTTCTATACCATTTATATTAACACATTACTGCTTGCATCTGTGTGTCTTGCATCATACATTTCTTAATAATGCAGAGTAAAATGTTCAAAACTAAATCTTTTTGTATATATTTCAGTGGGGTTCCTCCTTTTTATTAGCAGTGTTTAAGGATATTAGTTTAAATACTACAGAGTTCAATTATGGTGAATTTCATTACTAAATGCTGACATAGAAGGTTGCATGTCTTTTCCTTTAAGAATCTTTTCCTTGTATACTGACTTTAAATTTGTCTTTGATAATTTTGACTTACATGCATGAAACCTGTTGTGCAGTTTCTAGACAGTTGCAGACTACTGTAAAAAATTATAGTATTTTGGCACTTGTGTATAAAGTTAAAATCATAAATAATATTCAACGTTAAAC